TGCTCCTCCCTAAAAGTACGATATACCATATGAGTACTCAATTTAGCAGGCTCAGCAAGTGCTAACTGATCCCAAAATCCTGTCATAATTGAGTAGAACTCCTGTATGGTCTTATCACCCTGACGTGCAACTCGAATTTCATGCTCAAGCTGATATCTCTTTGCAAAATTGGACTAAACAAACAATGTAGCTAAATAATCCCAAATATCTTTGGCTGTGTTAAACTTAGTCAAATGCACACCAATGGTCTGATCAACTGAGTTGTTAATTTAAGTGATGGTTTTAGCATTGTTGACTTCCCAGGTATTCTTTAAATCAACATATTTATCTTCTTTCGAATCTATTGGAGCTTGCAAAGCACCACTAGCACAACTCCACATCTCTTTCCCCAACAAAAAATTCTTCATAACATAAGACCAATATACATAATTTTCACCATTCAGTCTGACACTAATAGCTTAAAGAGAATCAGAATGTCCACTTGACATAATGTTAATAAAACAACAATAAAACTAAATTTTAAACAAAAATCTAGCAACCCAACAAATCAATAAACAACCACTTCCCAAATTCAACCACAGAATAGTAATCACAAAACAAGCAGTGCACTGTGAAGCCAAGAAAAACAAAATCGAAGATACCACCGTGAACAGAAAGTTGGTGCACTGTGAACAGCCAAACCTAGCATAAACCCGTCCAGCCCAACTCAGCAAGTGCACAAAATCAACAAAGCAACACAACATAAGAGGATTCAAGAGCAGAAAATCCAAAAGAAATAGAAACCGAGATTAGTCCAAAGTCGGTGCACTATGCAATACACATCGGCCAAAAACTCACCAAAAACGCATCAACAACACTCCAAGAAAACTGGGTATGTCAAACCAACCCTCCATTCATCTAGTCGGAGCTATCTGTGAAGGATCAAAGCCTCCAATCGCAAGAAAAGACCCAAAATCTTCATATATGAAAAAAAATTCCCTATTTTTTGCTAAAATATTCAAAAATAGAAAACTCCATTCAGATGACTTCAAAATCAAAAACAAACCATACCATTGGAAAGCCCATGAATAGTCGAGTATAGCAATGCTCTCCTCGACTGCATTCTGATGACGTTAACAATGACATCAGCTATGACGTTAGCCCTAGTTTGATAACGTCAGCCCTCTTTCAGAAAAAGGTCTCATTCAAAAAAAATGGAAGCATCTGATATAGTGTTCTTCAAAAAATTATTAAGTATGCGAGAATCGAACAATGCTCTGATACCATGTTAATATTGATAAAGGGAAGAAAAGACAGAGAGAGATCAAGAATAATGTTTAGAATAATCCATTCTGTAATACAACCTTGACACAAATACACAATGTAGGCCCTTATATTTTAAGGTAACAAAATAATGTAAAATACTTAAACTACCCATAATAAAAATACTCTAACACACACAACTACTTCCACTCATAACCGTGTTCAAGAATTTCTGCTTGCCCATGTCTACAAATTACTTACTAATAAATCCCTCACATAGCTCACGGTTCGAGCTGCTCATATCCCTCAGTCATTCGCACCATCAACTCTCCGCTTACTTCAATTATTTTTAGTTTTTTTTGGTGGTGGGTTCCATGAAAGTTGAAAGCCGCAAAAAGACACCATAGCTTAGATACGGATCTAGTTGATACAACACAATTATTCACGAGTGAGAGAGAGAGAGAGAGAGGTCCTTTTTTGGAGGTTTGCAATTTAATGACACACGTGCATGGCTTGATAGAGTCCTGATGGTTACAATTCCTTCAACTTCAACACCCCCCCCCCCCCCCCCCCCACCCCTCCCGGCCCTCGTGTTGGTGCAAATATTAACCTTCTCATACTCTTTCTTGCATTATTATTTATTATGGCAATGCATAGACCACAAATTATTGGTGCAAATGTATTATGTCTCATGTTATATTCACCGGTTATTTTAGTGTCGTATCATGTTCATTGTTATTTTATGTATTTGAGAATGAAAATGTTCAGCATTATGATCTCTTTTTCTCTCAACCAATCGCAACGCATTTAACTCCTCGTAAATTAAAATTAACCCTACCTATATTCTAAAAAACTACGGAAAAACAGATAAATTATATAACAGTTTATAAAATACAATAACAAGAAATGGACAACAAATTATAAGAAACATATATTTTCTTAATACAATTCCAGTTTGATATGGTACCCAACATTAATTTAATTTATTTATTATTCGTGTTACTTACTAATACTAATTTTCAATTTGTGTCACGTCGAGTTCATCTCGCGTGGCAAAATTCACACCTTACATAAAATTTTGATTGAAACCCTCACCAAGAAACCTCTTTCTTTCTGCCAAAAAAATGTCCTTAGATCATCAATCTTTTTCCTTCGCCAGAGTGAGGACGAAATCACGTGGGAGCCTACGAATTTACAGATGAATCCACCTTATCCAATGGCAGGGTCGTGTGTTTCACGCAAGTACTGTCGGCTGGCCATAGGGACTCATGGAGAGTAGATTATTCATCATACATCTCATGAGGTGGGAGGTCCTTATTCGATATCAACCATCAACATGCCCGATTGTCTGTCTAACACATTCAATCAATCTTTTTGGTGATACATGTCTGTTGATTATCTTCAAATCCACATCTTCTGTTCATCTGCTGCATCGACAAATCACGAGTTCGGATAAAAAAATCAATATAAGGGTCAATCTAACTATCTCATATCTCTTTGAAGAACGTAGTATTGAGGGTCGATTCATTTGGAAAAGAGGTCATTTATATCTCACATAAACAATTGGAGAAGAAAATCTTCTACAGTAGCTAGTGATGTTTGTGATGATTGGCCAACTTATGTAGAATACATTCTGTGCTGGAGATGAGTCGGCTTACATGGAAAATCATACTGAACTTATGAAGAGTAATTTACTATTCATTAAAATTGAGAGAACGTATATTGGGGAATCCAAATATATTACAAATAAACATGGAACTAAAGTTTGGTAATTTTTTTTTTTGTTGATTGAGAAATATCAAGCTTGGTATTTATAATAGCCAGTTAATGGTTGTAGTCACGGGACCATTGCATTATTGTGGAATGAAACCTTTCAAAGTTAAATAGTCAAATTTGTTAGGCTCTTGATGTGTAGCTATCCATGCGTGTTCACAATAAACTCCTTCTGTGTCACTATCAAGATAAACGATAAAGGTAAGAGGGACACGATCAATTTATTGAATGGGTTATATGGCCTGTGTCATGTAGATGGGGCATAGTTCCTTTTTTTGTTATACAATTTTATTGTATATATAGATAATATAAGCGCTGAATTAATCTTGAAATGATACGATATAAATATTACATGAATTCAACACTACTCAACCCACTTTTTACTCCAGAAAAAAGACAATATCGAGATCTTAATAAGTGAATCAAGTGCAAAAACTTTTAGTTCCATTTACTAAGTTTCTACCAAGAGCAACATTCCACTTACCAAAAATTTTACTAAATTTTAATCAGATTATGGTTTTCATTGACTTTCACTAATAATTTTATGACTCTGAATATATCACATCATTTAGTATCCAAGATTTGATAAGAATTTTACTTTTTCGGTTTTATTCTTCTATCATTCTATGTAAAACTATTTTTGCGGCAAGGTAGGTAGTGGACGTAACTTGTAAAAATTTATCTCCAATAAGATATCAAAATCACCTAAATGTTATAAAATTATATGGGCCAATCTGGTATATCATTCTCTAGAGACCAACTAGGTTAACACTGCTGAGTACCAGGACACGAAGGGGTGGCTACTCCACTTATATGGACCTATAAAGGAGGTGGTAACAGGGGTACCCTAATCATTGAAGCCTGTAGAACTGTTGACCTTTCTTTGTACATGGTAGGGATCCATCCATGTGCACATATGCTATGCTGTTCATATTACACGTCTCCCATCTCCATCTCCTGTGCATACCCATCTTGTTGGCCGGCTCGATTTGTAGTGAGCCGAGTTCAGATTTTGAGTTTTGGTATATTCAGTCTCCTTCTAAATTGGTTGTTTCTAGTTTAATTTTTTTTTTTCTAACAGTCAAAGTATCCGGACTAATCTCTTCAACAATCTAATCAAAGACAAGTCATCTACGCTTGAATTAGGGTATTTATAACAAATAAATCATTTATGACATAATCTTATAGAATTATCAAAATTCAAAATTAAGACGTCTTAATTTACCACTCATTCCTTCACTTAAATTTAGTTGTACAAAATATGCTTAATTTTGCTTGGTGTTGATACGAATTTCGTGCCCTTCTTTTTTTCCAGATATCCCAAGGGGACTGCAGTTGCTGTTAACCCTTGTTGTGGTGGTTTTGACCGGGCTCATTGGTGGTGGTCCTAGGCCTTAGTGGTCGACGGTAGTTCACGTTGTGGTGGTCCTGGGCGTGGTTGTGATGGCGGTGCTCACGGGGGCAATGATGGTGCAAGGCAGAGGGAAAATAGAGTACAGAGGAGAAACAGAATCTTAGCCTAGCCACTCTGATTTTTATTTTTGGCACGTTTTTAAATTCCATGCATTTTGTTAGAATTACACCCTTGGAAGTTTTGTCAACTTCATCCTTACGTAATTTGCACTAGTATTCTATATGAGCAATACTGACTCTGAAAAGAAAATTTACTTGCGTCTTCAAACACTGATGATGGGAGAATCAGCTATCGACATCCAGAGAGAAAGGGAGTGGAGGCTACGTTGGCATACATGAGGGGTGTGGTCGTTCTATCGACAAACCTTGGGGGAGGTAACATTTATTGCCCCAAGAAAAAATAAATAAATAAAGTGGATCTGGTGACAGTGCATGTCCACAAATATCTCAAAAAAACATTTGTGTGTTAATAGCGCATCAAAATTTAAATGTGGAATCAGATGTTGCTACAAGGTGTTTTACAAACTTCATCGAGTGCAAGTAAAAGTACTCTGAGTGAGTGTATCTGAAGAGTAAAGAGTTGGAGCCAAAGCCTGATCCACCTGGAACACTTACAGTTAGAAAGATCAATTGTGCAATAGCAGCAATACACTAAAACTCAATTATGTTCATGTATATAGCGTGCAGCATAAGTAGTCAATTTGAGTCCGAGAATCAATTCCTCCAAAACATTGTCAAACAACTATCTCTCCTGATGCTCGTTACAAATGGGAGACTTGGGCGTGGGCATTGAGTGTGACCCATTTTGTCTAATGCGCGTCCAAATTTCTGATGAGAGGTAAGTTGTATTACTTGGACTTGAGCTGAGGTGGATTGTCAGCTGGAGCATAATCAGTTATAGTTGCATCATAGATGAATTTCAGGGGTACTAGCACAAATTCTCATTTTTCAGCTGAATCCTGCTGAATCCATGGCTCTTTTTCAATCCCTTCAATTTCATCTCTTCCCTCACCTCTTCCACACCAGTCCAATAGCCAGATTCAGCATAGACCATACTCAACAAAGTATAATTAGCAGCATTCTCAGGTTCAGACTCGATAAGCTTATGTGCTAGCATTTCTGCAACTTTCAATCTTCCATAGAGCTTACAGGCTGAAACCAAGGAGCTCAAAATCCTCATGCTTGGTTTCATGGGCATTATTCTTATGATATCACAAGCATCTTCAAGCTTCCCAGCTTTTCCAAGAAGATCAATATGGCAAGCATAATGTGCCATAGTTAGTGTTATTTTATCATCTTTTGCTGCTTCACTAAAGAGCTTTTGTCCTTCTTCGACCAAGCCAGCATGGTTGCAAGCCGATAAAATAGCAAGAATCGTGACCTCATCGGGCTCTATCCCTGTTTCTTGCATCTCATGAAACAGTTGCAAAGCTTCCTCACCGCATCCATGAAGACCATATGCACTGATAAGTGCACTCCATGAAATGGAATCCATTTGAGTCATTTCTTTGAAAATTTGATGGGTATGTGTAAGGCAACCACACTTCGAATACATATTTATGAGGGAATTTCCAATGAATGGTTCCAAAATAAAGCCCGATTTCAGCACATAGCCATGAACACCACGTCCATGACTTAGAGACGATAGATTGGTGCAAGCAGAAATAACTGCCAATAAAGTTACGGAGTTTGGTTCAATTCCATCCCTTTGCATTTGATTAAAAAGCCTTATTGCTTCTTCACCACTATCTTCACCTTTAGAATAACTTGCAATAATTGAACTCCACATAACGACATCTTTCTTCGCTGATCTTTCGAAAATTAACTTGGCAGGACGCAGCGCATCCCCGCATTTGCTGTACATGTGTATGAGACCAGATGAGAAACAACATTCTGAATCAAATCCATGACGAAATGCATATCCATGAATCTCTTCCCCATGCTTAATCAACCCAAATTCAGCACAAGCTGGTAAAATTGCAAGTAAAGTCACTCTGTTGGGCTTAGTTCCTTCAATCTGCATTGCTCGAAAAAAATCAAGCACCTCGGCATAATCGCGTTGAGCAACACATCCAGAAACCATGGCAGTCCATGAAACCTCATTTTTCAACTCCATTCTATCAAAAACACGAAATGCCATCAATGAGTCCGGACACCTCCAATAAAAATCAACCAATGCAGTTGACAAAAAGATGGACTTTTCCATCCTTTCATCAACAATAACCAGACCATGAATTACTCTTCCTAGCCTTATATTTCCTGTCCTGACGCAAACTGAAAGAACACTAGCAATCAACTCAGGCTTTGGAACAAAACCAGTCATATACATTTCTTTTAGCAATGTTAGCGACTCCAAGAAATACCCATTTTGGATATAGCAATTTATCATGGAATTCCAAGAGATGGTGTCTCTCTGCGGCATTGTAACAAACAATGTGCGTGCATTTTCAGGGTCTGAAAACTTGGCATACATTGAAATGAGAGAATTAGAAATCGTTGGTTCCAAATCAGACCCAGTTTTGAGGACATTGCAATGAGTTTGAAGGCCCAACAAATGATGGGTTTCGGTATGAGCACAGGCTTTGATGACTGAAGGCATAACAAAGTTTTTACTTTCATTGGAGAGGGCAAAGGGATGAAGTTGTTCTTTGTAGAGCTTAAGAGCTTGGTCATATAGTCCTTTCAAGACCAAATCTTTGACTTTAGTGTTGACCTCTGAAAATGATTGTGTGGGGCAAAGGATTGATGTGAACCGTCTGATCAGGTAAAGCATTTTGGAAAGTCAAGTTTTTTGGACCTGTTCATCTCATCTCATGGATGATTCCTCCATGGATCTGGGTTGTAGAAAGCTTATAGGCTGCTAATGTGAAACCGCATCAGTAATTGTTTTTCTGGTGAATCTCATGAATGATGGAAAAAAGTTGTTTTTCCTCTCAAGGATGAATTTGAATGGGAGATTAGCAGTTCATTCCATTTAAGTTGTAGCATAAAACTATAAAATTATGTAGCCCTCACTTACTTTAATTAGGATTGACAATTCTATTCGATACAAAACCAACTTATGAGGTGAATGGGTATTATTTTAGTTTAATTAGTTTTTAATTACAAAAAGATAACATGACCTGTACATCACACAAATTTGGTTAAAGACATAGTGCATTAAAGGACTTAATCTCAGTAACAACATTTAGATTTAGATGTTTTGGAGTAAGGTGACAACACATGTTTATTCATTCAATCACAAACTTTTGGATTTTAACATGGTAAATCAAACTGGATTGACAAATCCCAAGGTCTGTTTAATTTGAAAAGAAGCGGTAAATTCTTTACTTTTGTATAAATAGGGTGATAGTAGGAGGGGGTACCTAATGATTGAGTCGTGTAGGTCTGTTAGCCTTTGTTGGGACACCTAATGGATCCATTCATGTGTGCACATGCTCTGTGCTGTCTAGAATTTCTTATCTGGTGTGTGTATGTGAATGAAGTCCTTCCACGAGCGTGCCCACTTCATGGGGAGAGTTTGTCTGTTCATTTAAATCCCACGAGCATTGCAAAAGGATGGTTTCACTATCCCCACACTTACAGTAAATTAGCTCCCCAAAGTATAGTTATTAGAATTTGATCGGATATTGAACTGTTAGATGAATCGAGTCAATAATTTATTTGTTTAATCATTATGTCAATTGATCGGATCGATTATATAATAAAAAAGTATAAAAAATTATAAACATAATAATTAATTTAAAATTTAAGACTTTAACAAAAATAAAAAATAAATGTAGGTAAGATAAAAATTAATAGTGAACCCAAAATTAATTTATCACAAAAGCTTTGACAAAATGAAATTAAAAGAGAAGAAAAGATAAAATTATTAACTAAAGGTCGTAACTAAAGGCTGCTAAAGTCCAAAGTTGTACATACAACTTATACAACTAAGCCAAACATAGATGCCGATTGCCATCTGTGACTATGAGTGAAATGAGGCGCAAATGGAGGGAGAGAGAGAGAGAGAGAGAGAGAGAGTCAAAAGGAATTAGACTATCAAAGGACTCAAAAGGAATTAGACTACCAAAGGACTCAAAGGCGTAGACGAAGCAGACAAAGACTCAAAAGGCACAGATGAAGACGGAGACTCAAAGATTAGAAGACTCCGATTGTTTATCGTTGAAGACAAAGACTATTCGTCGCCATACCTAAGTTGAAGACCGAGTCCTGTTCGTCGCCTGGAGAAGGAAGGCGAAAGTTGGCATAGTGGGAATGGAGAAGTGGGAGTGGAGAATGGAGATGCAATTTAGGACAAAATTGCCGAAAAGGGAGATTTTTGTTTTATATATATATCTTTTAAAATCCAAGCCAAATCAGCCGATTCAACAGATGGGCGGTTTAGAGCATCTTGAATCTTCCGCTTTAAAATAGTTAGTCAAAATATATTTAAATATTATATTTATTATTTTAACATGTTATTTTTATAAATTTACTCTAATCACATTATCTATTTTAGTTAATTATTACATCCAATTTTTACTAACTTTCAATAATTTAAAAAAAATAAGATATATATATAGAGAGATAAAGAGAAAAAAAAATAGAAAGAGAATTTAGAGAGCTCAAATGACTCACCATTTGGTGAGTCATTTAGGTTAACTAGGAAATAGAGAGTGGAATAGAGAATGGGTTTGAGAGAATATTTTATGTTTAACTAATTAAAATAGTTAAAAGAGAAGAAATAGAGTGTGAGTTGAAGATCCTCTTATATGGTCCAACTCAAGAACCAGACTAGTCTAAGACCTGATTCACGGTCCAACTGTCCAGTTCGACGTGATTCTCATAACATTCCCTCAAATTCTATCCCGGCAATTTTCGATAAGATATATTAATATGATTTAAATTTGCTATGAATTAATAAGTTAAGATGGATCAGTTCGTATCAATTTCTTGACATGTCAATTGCAATATTATTTACAAAATAGTTCTCAAAATTAATATTAAAATATTTATCATTGATTTCATATTTTCTAACAGTATGAATATATTCTATCATACCAACAAGTAATGATGGGTCAAGCTTAAGGGTTCGGTTCAAATTATAAGTTCGGTCTAAGTTTATAGCCCATTTTCTAGAAATCCAACAAGTTCAGTTCAATGTGGTCTACTCAGATAAGCTCATCAAGATCAAAGAGCTACATAAGCAGTGAGTATTCAAGGTCATCCAAGAACCTCCTCCTCTACCATTTTGGAGCAAGGGTTATCCAAGAATCTTCTCCTCTATTACCTTGGAATAAGGGTCATCCATGAGTCTCATCCTCGCCACCTTGAAATAAAGATCATACAAAGTCTTATCCTTGCCGCGTTGGAGATGGTCAACACCCCACATCATCCTCGACCAAATCTCATGGAGAATCCCATAACTGCCTCGCCTGTTGAGAAGATATCGCCACTTCCATTAGAATAACTATTTTGTTACTAACAACTCGCCTCAATCTGTTATTGGAACGACTATAAATTATAAGCCGCACCAACACTTTGGGACAGATCACACTCTGTTGAGCATGACTCTTTCCTCTCCCTCTCAGCCTGTAACTGTCTGCTCTCCTTGCACATTTGAATTAATAAAATATCCGACGACCCTAGCCATTCGAAAGTGAACGTAGGTCACGTTGACTGAATCACTATAATTCTTGTCTTCCCTCTTTATTGATTAATTACTACATTTATTATTGATACTTGATAGGTGATGTGCAAACTCATTTTATGCTCCGTTAATTAGAATCAATACAATGTGTCACTAATGAAACTTAGTTTACTGTGACCGGTCTATAATAATAGTACAAGAAATTACAATAGTAAAAATTCTAAATTCATAAACTAAGTTTGCTTTTTCATTTCATCAAATTCTTTAAGCAGTCATTTCTAGTATTTCTAGAACCACTATAATAAATAGACTCAAGATAAGATTTAACAAAATTTTCTAATCTAAGAGCATCTTTAATATTACTTTCTATTTTAAAGAGAATCTTTTTTTTTTAAAACAGAGATCATCTTTGATAAATTTTAAAACAGGGAGTGAAATATTTTAAACAACTCTAATGGGTTCTCTATTCTAGTACAAAATAGTCTTATAGTCAATAGTATTTAATGATATATATATATATATATATCACCTTTTCATTAATTAAAAATATAATAGAGATTGAGTTAAACTCTCCTAATGTAAAGAGTCAAATAAGACTCTTTATTTTATCTAGTTTAAATACAGAGTTTGATGGCCGGCTTAGAATTCGAGAAAATAGTCGGCACAAACTTAAATATTCTATAGAAAAATAAAAATAAAAATAAAGAGCCTGTTGAAGATTGATTTTTGGTGATTGGTTCTCTAAAATAAAGAGTTGAGTGAAAATAAAAAGTCTATTGAAGATGTTCTTAACATCTTTAACAAAATGAAAGGTTGCTCAATAGGTATGTATTTGGCCTCTGATTCTATTATTTTTACATGAAAGTATGAAAAAGTTGATAAATTCCTTCTACTTTGTCTGAGTTGGGTTTGTTTAGGATCCTTATTATCACCATGGTTTTTTGAAAAAAGAATGTCCATGTCGGTCAAGTCGACTTATGCGACCACTGCTTTTTCAACTCTGCCAATGGGTTGGTTTCAAAGTTTGCTTGAATCTAATTTACCAAAAATTCAAATTTTTTGAAGTCAAAATCCATTGGGTCCACTTTCAATGAAGATGAACAAGAACAACTAATGGTAATCTAATTAAAATGAAAATACTTAACAATAACTTAATTAGAAAAATAAGAATGGCTGAAAAAGTCCTACTTGAAAGAGAAACAATTAATAATAGCCTCGCTAAATGAGTAAGTAAAATTAATATAAAAGTACTTCAATCAAAAATGAATTGATTGAAGCATAATTGAAGAAAGAACATGAACTTAAAAACTAGATTTGATAATTTAAATCATTGATTTCACTGTGGATCCTAACATTTATTAGGACTCACTACCTATTCAATGGTTGAGATTATCAAGTCTAATTTTTAAATCTTGTTTTTAAGTTCATCTAACATTACTCTTGAAGAAACAGATGTAAACTTTTATGTAGACTTATAATTGTAATTATGGTCTTTGTAGATATAAATGTATAATTTATTGTAGGGAGAAATACAAATCGGTAGTAATATAACAATTGAGAGAAGAAAATGTGTCAATTTGTGCTAAACTTTCAAAGAAAAAGATGATTGATCGTCTTTATGTTTGTGAATGGGCAATGCCCATGGTTTACAGATTGGGATCCTTTCCATTAATATTTATTTACTCAATGATAGATTATTCATCATGTATTTACATAAAACTCATTATTTATATGTGAATCATTCACCTATAGACAGTAGATGATTTACAATTGAATAAACTTATGTAAAAAAATAATAAAGATAATTTAGATCATATCTAACTTGTGCCAACATCAATTAGCTAGAATAGCAAGCCCAGCAAGGCAAGGGAGTCGTACCCGTAAGTGGACTGACCCGTTTTGAATCGTGTTGTGTCCACCTCCAATTGTGCCGACCCGACCCATTGTAAACCTATGAGACAGACACAAAGGTATCCCAAATTATATGCTGCTACCCTGTCTTCAATGGCGCGTGGGGTTGTCATATTCAAGTGTATGCAATAGTGCATATTCTTTAACATTCCAGCTTGGTATTGGTACTGAAAATTAGTCAAGCACGAGGATAAGCGCAAATTGCGGGGGGTTGACCCCGCCGGCTCGATCGGCTGGACCCCAAGCTCTTATCTTCTTCCAT